TAGGGTTCTGTACAAAACCATTAGGGTTTCTCACGAAACGTTAATGGTTTTGTACAGAACCCTTAAGGTTTCGTATTTTTTCACAGAACCTTTTTTTGCTCTACAGAACCTAAAAAAAGGTTTTGCGAGAGATGGTTCTGCTAGTGGGTACTCCGCAGAACCTTCAAAAGGTTCTGTCGAATTTTTTATCCTTTTTTTGAGACTTTGGGCACATTTGGAGTCTTTTAGAAATCTACAGAACCTTTTCGAAGGGTTCTGCAAAGCTCCTTTTTTTTAGAGAGTATTGTAGAGGTTACTTTACGTGGTAGGAACCGAAAAACTCCGTTCACATTCAGAATCACGAGGTGATCATTTAGCAGGGGGGTCAAATCAGCGTTTCCAATAGGAATCTGAAACAAAGTATATTTGGGTATTCGTTTCCATTGACAAAGTATTTGCTGGTACTTTGTTCTACATATCAAAGTACCCCAAAGTACCACACAAGGGGGAAAACACGTACTCCCGTACTCCCGTATTCCCGTACTCCCATTGTACTCCCGTACTCCCACTGTACTCCCTGGACTCCGGGAGTACATGGGAGTACAGGGAGTCCAACATAGGGGTGGGAGTTTAACTTTAACTTTAACGTTAAAATCAAAGTTAAAGTAACATACTTTAATACTTTAACACTGTAACGTGAAAGCAAGGGAGAAATCACGTACTCCCGTACTCTGTGTACTCCGCTGTACTCCCGTAGTCCCATTGTACTCCCTGGACTCCGGGAGTACACCGAAGTACAAGGAGTCTGTGAGATACAATTCTTATGTAGGAGACTATCACAGGTACCTTCGTCAACCACTTTAAATATTCCTATTTCTCAAGGGAAAACCATGTACTCCTGTACTCTCTGGACTCCGGGAGTACAATGGGAGTACATGAGAGCTCAGAGAATCCAAGAGATATAATTTTTACATGACATCGTGTAAAGTGTATTCGCCACTGATTTGTATCTCAGTATTTTTTAACGTATGATTTCATGGAAAAAAAAATATCTCTTTTGTAAATTTGATAATCGTTTTTATCAACAAAATGGTGAACTTAGCAGATGATTGCAACAGTAAAAATTTACAAACAATTGTAGATCATTACATAGATATCTTCTTCTGCCAAATGTGGCATGCGAAATATAAATTTTGAAAAATGAATAGTCTGATTTTTGCGTTCCTCAATTTTCATACAACAACAACTATATGCAGATATCTACCAAGACAATGACCACTGACGTGCAGAAACTTAAAATACACACGAATAAACCTATATAAAAAAACGTAAAATTAAAACCGAAATAGTATAGTTAATTATTTGTTGTAATGTGTGAAACGATTTGTCCGTAGCAAACTAAAGAAAAATTCACATGCTTTTTTTTCTACAACTTATGAGATCGACAGCTATAGCTATCGTCGTATTTATTACTCTTTTATCTGTTTTAATACAAGGAACAGAATGAACTTTTATTGTTTATTTTCAAAAAAAAAACAAGATGTCGATTTTTAACTTTTAGTCTTTATAGCAAAAGTCTACTGAATTGTCTTATAGTTTTATACTAGTGTTGTCTTACGCGAGTAAGACGATCACTTGACAAGGATGCTTTATTTTCCGCTAGAAGCCAACAAGCTGTCTGTTTGTGAATAAATTTCTTTCGACCAGATATTTCTATTTCAAAATAAGAACTTTTCAGTTCTGGACGAATTGTATTAAAAATACGCATTTTGGAAAATGTAGGATCTTGCAGATCGAGTGAAATATCTGTTGACAAAGCACTTGATGCTTCATTGTTCTCGTCGTCGAACTGTTCTTCGCTGTCACTAGCATTTTCCGAATCTATCACGAAATCTAATTCGTTTTCTGAATCAGACATTTCATCTATTTCATCATACACGCTGTAAGAATCGTCAATAATTATTCTTTTTCTCAATATGTTTCGAACATAGTTGCTCAATTGATTCATGTTTGCGATATTTTTTTTATCGAGTACTTCTATCATTTGACGATCAGAAAGCATTTGAGAAACATCAGTAAAGGCTTGACCAACTATTTTTTCGACGATTTCTATATTGAGCTTATAGTTCGCTGAAATTGTTGGAGACAGTTGTTTCAATGTTTTACCGTGTTTATGATGCTTCGGAAAAAGTAGAACTTCAGTACTCGTACTGTATTCACTTTCGCTCTTGATCTTCTGAAAGGCGGATAACTTTTGAGCACGATTAAGAAAATCTCGTACACTGAAGTTTACAATGGAAGAAAATGCACCGGACATTGAACGAGTTGAGCGAAACATTGCTTCGCATGTTTGAGAGTTGAAAAGATAGATGTTCAGCGCTTCCGTCGGTAGTTTCTTCTCGATGACTAGCAAAGCAAGATACGTCAGCTGATGAGCATTAATTTCAATCGAATAATAAGCATTGTTGGTGATGAAAAAAGATTCCTTTTTTAATTCCTGGCCTTGACTGGTTGTAGTACCAGATAATTGATAAAGCATTTGAGTCAAATCGTTATTGGACATACTTTCAAGCCAGCTACGCCACCAACGACTAAGAAAAACTGAGAACCAAGCATGATATAGTCGATCAATGAAAACTGTTTCTTTATCAATATATGCAATCATAATTGAGCGAAGTAGACGAAGATATATAATCATGCCCTCGGTATTAGGTATATTCAACAGACATTTAATCACATCGTCGCTGCAAATCTTGATGCAGGAGTTAAAGTTCTGGCGATCTTTAGGAAATATGTCTGATTTGACTAGATTATGATGTAATTTGGAAACTTTATTGATTAATGTTGACAAACAATCAAGTGAAATATGTCGATTACCGATTAGCATATTAGCTGTACTAGAGAGTAGCCTATTACGCAATTTTGTACATAAATGTGTTGCGTCTTGAAAACATAGGAATAGTTGTCGATCATCAAGAAAATACCAACTCCAGTTTTTTGGAATTTTAATATGGAATGCATCTTTATGGCTATTTAATTTCATGTTTGATAAAGAGGCAAAGAAGCCTGTAGCAAGGCGCATAGCGCGTAGATATTTAGGATCTCCGTCAGTAGAATATCCTACAATACGAATATTTTTGAGCATAGTTTGCTCGAAAATCCATATCCAACGACGAATTATGTCTATAGATTGATATTCACTACCTGTTCCATAAGCAGAAAGCAAAAAAGGATTTGATGACATGTCTATTCTAGTAATAGGTTGAATCATATGAATATTTAACAGAGGTGAACAGTCTTTATTAAGAAACCAATCACGGAGTTGTTCGAAAGATTCTGTTTGGTAATGTAGAGGTATAGGTAGTCCATTTTTCAACGGCGTCGTGAAACCAATGAATGAATTCGTAGCATTATCGTAAGATATCTTTTTCACGACTGCTGTGCAATCCTCTGAAGCAAAAGAGATATTTGTTTCAACTGAGTTCATATGTGTAGCCAACGATTCAAAACGAAAATCTGCTTCATTAATTCGAAGCTCTGTATTTATAGCAAGTCTTTGAAGAGTGGGTATAGACGGAAGTGCGCCTGGTATGTTCAATCTAACGAATTCGTACGCATTCTTTCCGCCTTGAACATATAATGATACAGCAAATCGAAGCACACAATCATTATAACGATATGCATTTTTTGATCGACATAGGTTGTTACTAATATTATCAAGCAGAGAAGTTAAAAAAGACGGATTTTCAAGATCATTTTCATGGTTTTGACTATCTATTGTCTGGTACAAATTGATTAAAGACTTTAATACTGGATGTCTTTGAAGAAAATCGGATGAGAGAGTCATATGGTCAGTCTGCGAGACTACTTGCTCTGTTACATCTGGATCATCATTGCTAGCTGCTCGTAAATCTCGAATAAAACGTTCTAATGAGTTCCGAACGCCCCATTTGACTTCAATGAAACCATTATCATGTTGAAAAGCTAATTTATTTTTAATGATTCGTAGTTGTTCTGAATTAAATTCCAGCCACTCGAACAAATTGTCTACTCCCAATAGTGACTGGACAGACGAAATATTTAGAATTTTCAAGAATTCAACTACATCACCACCACATTTTTATTTGACAAGTTCGTAAAAGTCATCGTTACAATAGTTGAGAATGTTAGTTGGTAAAGATTTGGACATTATTTTTTTAAAAGACGTTTTTTAATAGCAAATGAACAATATTTTAGAAAAAGAATATAGCTTCGAGAAAATAGTTTAGCAAAGTTCAACAAAAGTCAATACATCAAGAGTCACTATTATTTTACAATTCTAATTTAAAAAAAATAGTAATTTGCATAGAGTTGACGTTTTTTGACAAGAATTCGACAATAAAATAGTACGCGTTCAATTTTTGATGATAAAATAACAAATACGTTCTTTTTATTTGCAAGAACTTTAGGTTATTGTTGTGTTATTGTTGTGAATTTTTTTAAAAATCAGTTATACAAAAAAAAATTTTGAGGACAATAAAACTCTCAAAATAAATATTTGCTAAATAGAAAAATCAAAGTTTATCAAATGTTCATCTGTACGATTTTTTCAATAACTATTTTTTCGGTGGTATAATGGTCTATGCGTATATATGTTCGTCCGAATATATATAGATAAGTACGAGTGAAGATGAAAGATACAGTAGAATACGAGTAACAACGAAATATATAGCAGAATACGAACGATGACGAAATATATACTGGAATACGAGTAACGACGAAATATATATTAGAATACGAGTAACGACGAAATATATATTAGAATACGAGTAACGACGATATATATAATAGAGTAGGAGTAACGACAAAATATATAATAGAGTACGAGTAACGACAAAATATATAATAGAATACGAGTAACGACGAAATATTTAATAGAGTACGAGAAAAGACGAAATATATAGTTGAATAAGATCTTAAAAAATGTTTGTTTCAAATGTCAATGTGTATAATTGTATATAAAGTACGATTAAAGACGAAGTACTTAGTAGGATAAGATTTTAGAAACAAGATGTTTGCGTCAAGGAAGCGATGCTTATATAATGTATTGTGTTAAATTTTTAAGCTACACAATCATGCATATATTTGTAGTCATTTAAGAGTGCGTGTAAATAAAGTACAATTAATGATGAAATATGTATAGTAGAAAAATCTAAAAAAAATGTTTAAATAACAAATCAAGATTTATACAATAAAAGTCAGGTTTTCAATAATACATTGATCTATATACATAAGTCTACTATGACAAATAATAAATAATGCAATGTGATATAATATAAAATATTTACAATCCGATAAAACCTAAAAAAAACTATCTATTACATAAAAAAGGTCTATTTTTACTGTTAAGGACTTTTAATCTGTTTCTTGTTAGTTATATTAGGCGAAGCAGCACGTTTTCGATTATTTTGACTTTTATTGAGAAAAGAAACTTTATTTGTAGATGGAACTGTACTAAGAGAAACGGCATCTTGTGATGATGAGTTATTACTATCACTAGAGTCATTTTCATTTATACCTATTTCATTTGTTACAGTTGTTGAACTTTCTTTGTGAATGATAGAACATGATGATGACGTCAGATGCTTGTAGAAATTGGACAGCTGAAAGTGTTTTCGAATTTTTACGAGACTTACTCTACTTCCACATCCACATTTTATTTTCGCTATTTCATTGATGTCTGTGAATATAACAGTAAGATGATAATTATTGCCTTCAGTTAATGATAAATTAGCAGAATGTTTGTTGCACCATTTATGAATAGAATTTATTATGAAGTTTCGATGATATTTTTCGTTCAGAGAAGTAGTATGTAATGATACAGCAGCAGACGTAGGAGTAGTTGAAGTCAATTGTTGTTGAGGCATTGGACTTACATTCGTAGTAGATGACATGGTAACGATATTCGAAACGGAAGTAGTAGACGAGGACTGCCTTTTGTTCAATAATTTTAATTCTTCATCTAGTTTTTTGATGATCAATTCGCAAAAATAATTCATTAAACTTTTAATACCTGGTTTAACCAAAGAGATATCATCATCGGATTTTAAACAAAGTTTTTCTTTCAATGGTTGTAAAGCAGCGCAATTAATGTTTAGAATGGCAAATACATCAGGTATCAATACAAGTGAATCAGCATTACGAATTGCTTGAAATTCAAGTAGATCAGCTGCATCATTACAAACAAATCGTTTGACAACATTGTAGAATTGCGTATCGTTATACGAAAGAATGTCGCCTGGTAGCACTGAAGTGTTGATGCGATGTTTGAAACTAGTCATATAAGAAGTTTAAAAATCGAGACGTTACAAAGTTAATGAAGTAATAAAAACACGTCAGGTCTTGTCACTAAACAAGATGGAAATGACTAAATATATTGACTAGATATTTTTTCTTTCCTTCTTATCGTTCGTTTATACGTTCAATTATAAGACGAGAAAGAAAAATGGACGTCCGCTTAAAATGTTCAACCATAAGAAAAACGAAAAAAAGAATGCGACGTCTGGTGTACTACATACAAGCCTGGATACATTACCTACTGAACAATATATCATTCAAGGTCGTTTATAAATCAACAAAAGAAAAAAAACAGTCGTGCAATGTTTTTTCGAGATATATTTGGGGTCGATTTGTAGTACATTATTACGTTCGCTGTATTTCCTTGTACTCCCATGTACTCCCTTGTACTTCCTTGTATTCCCATGTATTCCCATGTATTCCCTTGTACTCCCATGTACTCCCTTGTACTCCCTTGTACTCCATGTATTCCCTCGTACTCCCATGTACTCCCACGTACTCCCTTGTACTCCCTTGTACTCCCACGTACTCCCTTGTACTCCCACGTACTCCCTTGTACTCCCTTGTACCCCCTTGTACTCCTTTGTACTCGGAGTACGGGAGTACGTGTTTTCTCCCTTGGTACCACAGCAAAGAATTGATTAATAACAAACAAAGACAAAGTTATTACTATTCTTATATTTTGATAAAAATAAGTTCTTGTACAAAAAACAAAATATAGAAAAAAAATGTATACATATTCATCTCACTAGATTAAAGAAATGTTCTGAATGAATCTTTACTATCATATGTATATAATAAATAAAAGAAAAAGAAAATAAAGTTATTATTATTGTTCTTCTTCGTGCATATCAATACAGTCTTCACAAAACCATGAAGTTGATTCGATCGAGACTCCTAATTTAATACGACAGGTATTACATAACCATCGAGAACAATTATCTTCGATCCAATCGTAATATTCATTTTGATAGCAGCATTGGATAGCGTGTGTTTTTTCTGGATCATCAGCAGCAATACTTTTTCCACAACGATTTGCACATTTTATAGCTTTGGCTTTTTGTTTTTGAGTACTCAAAAAGTGAGTACACTCTAGAATCGGTCAGTATGTCCGGCCGGCCGTTTACACGATAACTTTCGAAAGGAGAGTCCAATCACGATGAAATTTTCTATACAGTTCAGTCTTAAAAATATCTCGGTCGAGTTCGAAGATGAGAAGGATCGCCCGAGCCCTTCCTGAGTTATTGCAAAAATACTCATTTTTTCCTATGGCTTCCTATGGGAAAATCGACCCATCGCCATTTTCGTAAAAGACTTTTCCTATCATAGTCTAGTAAAACCCCAACTATTATATACCATTCGATAGAGAATTTCAAAAGCTACAAAATGGTATATTAAACATCAAGAAGCAAGAAGAGTAACTCACCTATTGGCAAGATAAATAAGCGGGAATCGGTTCGGTTTTTGTGCACACTCCAATCGATCCCCAATAGAAACTCTATCATCCTATCATTGAGGTGATAATCGAAGGTTTTATAGTATGGAAAACTCGAATCTGTACTCCATTTGCCTCGAAGACCCATTGGTTGAACATTGACCAATAGAAATCAAGTTATAGGAAAAACGAATTTCTGAGGCTAAGTTAAGCCGAGAAGTTCAAATCCGAGCTGTATACGCTCCTAACTCCTATTGGTTGAGCAGTAGCCAATGAAATTCAAGGGTTTATAGAAAATGTTTGCCAGGAAAATTTTTATATCCAGACATTCTAGGATGACTGATTTGTCTCTCATTCACTTTTTGAAGTACACATACTCTCGGATATAAATCCGAGATTTCCGCATTTATTTTGGCTTAACAGGACAATTATCAATTGTTGTAAATTGTCTCTTACGTGTATTTGGACGAATCTGTTTTGATGGTACATAATCATCTGGTGCATCAATTATTAATTGTGTTCGATTAATTCGACGACGTTCATCTTGTCCACTCCATGTATTATAGGCTTTTTGAATTATTTCTCGACATCAATCACTAAAATGAGACAAGAAGTGCGATGTTTGTTTGCAGTTAAATGGAACACATTAGTTTTACCTTCTCAAATCATCAGGAAAAGCAAACGAATATTCATTATCACATCAAGTGTATCAATCATTATTTGTGAACGTCCGTTTGTTTGTATTCGATTAACAATTGAATAACCACGTTCATATTCAGCTGAATTAAGTGGTGATATCAAATAAATTGATAATAATATTAATATATTTTTGTACTGTTCATGAAAAGAATCATTGATGGCTTCTTTCCATGAGATGAAGGATTTCCAAAATATCCTTCTAGATTTTTGCTGTTCTTTAATACGTACGAAATCACTTAATGAAATTTTTAATGTTTCCCATTCATTTCGACATTTATTCATATTGAATCCACTTAAATTTCTATATTTCGTGCAAATATATTCAAGTTCTTGTCGTCCATAATTTGATTTCATTACATCATCTTTATTATTGATTAAATAATCAGGTTCAAATAAAACAAGAAAACATTGTTGTAATTTTGATGGTTTGAATCTTCTATCCAATTCCAATAATAATCGATCAATATGTGTAAAACATTCTTTGTACAATTTATCACGATCACCAATGACAATTTGAAATGCACCATAAGAATTATTGTTCATAGTAGAATCTAAATAATCATTCAATGAGGGTCCTAAAATACATTTTGATTCTTGTTTTCGAGAAAGCCAATTATTTAATATTTGTCTTTTTTCATTCAATACGTTCATTAAAGTTAAATAAGATAAATCATCATTTTGTAATAATTTAGTTAATTCCCCTGTAATGGAAATGAAAAGATCACAATGAAAAATAAAATCTTCTTACCTAGAATACATTCATGTAAATCATAATGAAAATGAAGCATAAACAAAAAATCATCATTTAATATTGAAGATAATAAATCAGCTGCTGTTTCATGATCATCATTGGTTAAATTTTTACCAAATTTAATCTCTTGTAATGTAGGTAATAAGTCTTGATTTGCTACAATAGAAAAGATAGAAATAATGTTAATAAAATAAAACAAGTGTTAAAAAATATTTACTTGGTGTGATGTTGAACATGATGGGCTTTATCGAATCTCGAATAGCTGTCCAACGTATGCTGAATAATTTTTTGAATTTTAATTCAGGAATATCCAACAGATTTTGCCAACACTTAAGTTTAAACGTTCGAGTTGCACTTGAACCAAAATATTGATAAATCCGACCTATAATACTTTCAAGTTTTGCAATTAAATCACGTTTTTTTGCTTTTTCATGATCATCTAAAAAAATTTTTAATTAATGGATAGAAGTATAAATAATACATACCGTCTTTAATAAATCCAGCTTGCTTTCCTACTAGTGCAAACGAATGTGCTATACATGTATTTAGTTCAACAAAATCTAGATCATAATCACGTTTAAGTTTGGCCACAACACCATTATTAACACCTACAACAGTTAAAGTTGATTTTTTTTTAAACAAAGGCTTAATACCAGTAAACGTAGCAGCATTGTCGGTAGCAAACCAACATGTTTTTTCAGAATTTAAGTCGTCTTTTCGCCACAATGATTTAATGCAATTGACTCTATTTGAGACTGAACCATCATCATCCAAACCCAAAACTCCATAAAAACTTGTTTTAGATTCATCATTCTCGAAATATCTGACGTAGATAATGAGACTTTTTTCTACAGTTCGAGAAGTGCTTTCATCAAGCATCCAGCCTAAGCAGCCAAAAGCCTCATTACAGGGTGTTTCATAAGTCTTGAGGCGCCATAAAATTAGTTTATATACAAACAGAAAATAACTCCTAATTAGATGTTTTTATATAAGCCTTGATTATTCGTATAAATCGTTCAAAATGACATATTATTGGGTAATATCTTCTCGTGTAATAATAAAAATATAAACATGAGAATGTAAGGAAAAATTTTTCACAATCGATCAACTAGATATTTATTAAAGAAACGAGAAACACTTTATTTTATAAATACATATATTAATCTGACTATACAAAAATATTATTTAACTATTACGCGTTTGTTATCCACCACTTTTTATTAGTTCGACAAGTCTCTTAGAAATTTCATCAATCGTTCTTGACAATCATTACAAGTTATTTTTTTCATTCTTTGTTCAATGTAGTTTTATATTGTTTAAAACTTGAAAATTGTTCTTCTCGTGCCTCTTTTTTTGATCTTTCTGATACACTCTCAGTAGGTCATACGTCAGCAACTTTATCGCCACCTTTTTAAGGTAAAAGTAGGTTACTAAACAATTCCATCAATAGTTCAAAATGCAATCTTTGTTTTTGTATTTCGTTCTGTGTGCGATTTTTTCATATACCTTATCCATTTCAATCCAATTACTGAGTATATAACTTGATTGAACATGTAACAGTAGATTGTGACGAGGGTGGAATAAGTGGATAAGATAACTAATTTCTAGTTTATACTACACTATGTTTTATGTAGAATTGTTCAGCACGTAATTAAAAAACCTTTCAAAAAAAATCACGTTGGTTGATTCAGAAAAATTTATTCTCACATACTTATGCTTATATTTTTATTATTACAAGGGATGGTATTATCCAATAATATGTCATTTGAAAGATTGACAGGAGTACTCAAGATTCCTATAAAAAACATTTGGTTAAGGGTTATTTTCTGTCTGTATATAAACTAATTTTGTGGCGCCTCAAGACTTATGAAACAAACTGTATTCTTATGTTTTAAATTTTTTCTTACCAATGGCTTGACTTTGTTTTACTTTTTCAAGAATTTCTTCATGTAAATAAGAAGCTACATGAGGTAAAAATTCTAATGCTGCCTCATCATTTCGATAAGTAACACCACCTAAATCTGCTGGCAACAATTTAACACCAAGAGCTTCAATTAACGTACGTAATTTCTCTAATGAGTTAATTTTTTGATCTTGTTGACAAATATAAACTGCTGATAAAATCAAATTTTGTATTGCAATCTCCTGTTTAGTTCGTTCTTTCATTTGTGTTGTTATCCAGGATGGTTGAGAGTGAGATGCGCTTTGCAATTCAAGTTGTTGAGCTTGTTTGTGAACTTCATTATCTTTATGTTCCATTATTTTTGATAATTTCATTATTTGATAACCTGATGTGCACCATAAATTAATTTTTCCATTTGAATTTGTTCTTTTTTGGGACTTCTCACAAAGTTTACAACCAAGACCATCATTGCCATTTTTATCTTTTTTGTTGTACAACCAACAAATGTGTTTTTCATGTCTATTATTAAATATATCAAATGTATATGTTTTATAGAACGATTCTGGTGGTTGTTCCCATGTTGGTAAATAACGACCATATTTTTTCTCTCGTAATTTAGCTGGTACTTGACTTGTTACTATTGCTTGATCTACTGTTGCCATGTCATAATCATGATCATTTATTATATTTGATAGTATAGGTATATCATTTTCACCAGATAAATCAATAATAACATTCGTTTCAATTCTATCAACGGCAATTATTTTCTTGTCTTGAGTAAAAGCTTTAGCTTCATCATTACATGAACTGGATTGATCGTTTAAATTTTCCTTCTGTTCCGTATTTGCAACACCGAGTGTTAATAATGTTTTACCACATGGTTTATCAATATTTGTTTGTTCCATCAGAAAATTATTCTACAAGTAAAATAAGATGAAGAAAGTAACAATAGTGATCCCACTCACATAATCTTTTTAATACATTAAATAAACCAGTTAATAAAATAAACACATGAAATGAGGCCTCCCTAGTGAAACATCTTGTAAGCAAGATCTTGAAATCTTGGGACCGATAAGCAAGATCTTGATCAGATCTTGGAAAGATAATTTGCATATGCATATCTTGGTTATATCAGATAAATCTGTGCTTAAGATCATGGAAAAGATATCGTTCACTTTTATCTTCTCACAAGATCTTGAATACACCAAAAAGCGACATCATTAGTTTATTGGTTACATGCTGACTAGTGATTCACCGTTTTTTTATGCATATAGAGCCGTATATAAACAACTTGATTGAACATACGAAACGTACATTTTCAAAATATATTTTTTTCTAAACTCTTTCTCGACTATTAATCATTCGAGAAAATGCTGATCTCGATCAATGATTGAGAGCAGACTACCCTGAAGTAGTATGATGGAGATCGAGCCATTTCTAGATCACGCAGGTTCCAAGATCTGACTTGCTTTAGTTATTCGGAATAGGAATAATTAAAATGAAATAAATTGAAAAAAAAATGTCATAACATGATTTTACAGAAAAAAAAATAAGCGCTCTATATGATAGATTCGAACCACGCTTTCAGAATCTATCATGCATTGTGTCGCAAATCACGACACGCGCAACACGTATAATCTCAGTGTATACCCAAGATCTTATGGATCCATATCTAAGGTCTTATGAATCTGTGTCCAAGATCTTAAATGTCTGTACATAAGATCTAATTCAAGATCTTGGTGCAAGATAATCATATTATCTTGTACCTAAATTTCCAAGATCTGTTTACATTTCTGTACCTAAGATCTTGGCCAAGATCTTGCTTACAAGATGTTCGACTAGGGCTAAATATACAATAAGGATATGTGAAGAAAATAACGATATTGACACTAACCAGTTAAACTTTTGAATCAATTAAATAAACAATTTAATTTAATAAATATATATATATATATATATATGAAATGAGATCTAACTATATAATAAGAATATGTGAAGAAAGTATGTATAAAGATAACAGTGAAAATCTAGAAAGAGAAAGAGAAATTTTAGTACTAAATTCATTAAGACTAAACGAAAACTTCTTTTTAGCTCCATCTACCAGTATTATAAATAAACAAGAGGAAGAGGAACAACTTTTAAATAATGGCGTAAGAAATACGCAAAGTGCTTTTTTATTTTACAAAGTACCACAAACGTATCGTGTTTTTTCAAGTAAAGTGCAAAACACAGTACTTTTTCAAAATTGTAAGTACCTTGGGTACTTTGCTTTTGCTTGAGGTACTTAATATTGGAAACACTGGGTCAAATCCAGCAAAATTCGCTCGATGAGACCAGAGAGTGTTCAGCAAGAGAGGCTTTACTGTATGTCGAATTTTTGAAACGCGAAATATGTTATTTCGATTTGAAAAACAATAAATATTTATACATATGAATAGATGAAGACAATGATCAGGACAAAAGTCGAGAAGCTTCTTTGTCTTTGTTTTAGACGATGAACAATAAGAAGTATTTAAAAAAATAATTTCTCTTATTCCCAAAATATGTATGATAAAAATTGTAGGTCAACAGAAAGAGAACAAATGTCAAATAGCTCAAGAGAACGGAAAAGAAAAACAAAAATGGTGCCCTCTATAACTATTACTATTTTTAATCTGATTCTTTAAGATATTTGACTCTTAATAAAGGGTGTATCCATGGGATCCCGCCAGTCGATCCGGTGATCACGTCCAAATCGATTGAAACTTTCAGGATTTGTAGAGCTTTTTGAGCTGATCATTTTGGTAATAAATTTGTTAGAGTTCGACTGTGTTTTCGCATAGATACAGGTCAAATACTATTAATGCCTTTTTATGCACTCTGCATTTTTATGCAAAAAAACGAAGCGGTAGCTTATCAAAAAAATGATGATAGTTCATCATTAGTCGCTCAAATTTTAAAACCAATTACAGATTCAGATTCCTCGTGAAAAACTGCGTCAGAATCCTTATGAATTGAAAAAATTTTCTATAATTTTTTTTGATATACATGTTCACTAGGACAACATGTCCTCGAGAACAAGTATTGAAAAAAGTCAATAAGAAAACCCGAATTCTGCAGAATGGTGGTATTACCAGTTCGATAGAGCAGAACTTGCTCTACAAGATGTACTAATTAGTTTTCTTCCCTTCTGTGATTTTGGAGAGAACAAGGTCAAAAACTATTTTGTTATCGAAATTTTCACTAAATTTTGATGACAAAATTTGTGAGATCGAATCATTCCGTTCGATGACCATCTCGAAATTCACTGAAACTTTCAGAGCTTATACAGATTGTTGCGCTGAACATTTTCGTATAAAATTATCCAGTATTCGATTCGATTTTGATGAACATATAGGTGACATAATATAAATAGATATTTTGTTTTTATGACTACTATGCATAAAAAACGTATCTTTCTTGAAATAAAATTGATAGAACTATAGTATTTGGTTAGATTAAAAATCTGTTAATATATTCAGATTCAACATGTAAAACTACATCAGAATCTATAGGAAATATATGAACTGTTCAATACCCATGTTATGTCTGTATGATCGTATGAGATAAACAAAGAAAGAAAAGCGGATGAAAAAAAAAGATTCAGAATTAAATTAAGGATGTGGGTGTGGGGTGTGGGGTGTGGGTGTGGGTGTGGGTGTAGGGTGTGGGTGTGGGTGTGGGTGTGGATGTTGTCTTCTTTCCGTTCCCATGCATACACACCCGCACCCACACCAGACATCCACACACCACACCCACCCACCCACACCCGCACCCACACCCACACCCCATACCCACCCACACCCATACTCCCACATCCACACCCACACACCCACACCCACACCCACACACACCCATACATACCCACAACCACACCCACACCCTGATCAGTTGATTCTTTGTTTCTTATTCATCAAAAATTATTTTTTGCCAGTAGAATAACAGTAATTTTTTGCAAAAGTGAATGTTCGAATCAGATCATAAGTACTCTTGTATTACTAAAATCACAGCATTGTTTAAGATTTCTCATCAATAGTCGAATATTCTTTTTAATTATTCTGTAAGCTCATAAAAAAACGATTGACAAAAAAATACTGACCTAAGAGAATTTTCATTTATATGAATAGTATAATTCATTTTAATATTATTTTCATTAAAATCTTCATCAAGTTTATCATCATTGATCTCTGAACATGTAATCAATTTACTTTTTTAATAAACTACAAAGAACTTGAAAGAATAAAGCAACTTTGATTTGTGTTTCATTCTGCATTCGTTCAATTGTCCAACTTGGGAGTTTGTTAAATAAAAGTGAAACAGTTATTTGATATATTGATACCTTTTATATTTCAAAACAACAATAAAACTATTGTTTTTTATAAAATAAGTCGATATTTACATGTAGAATATATTTTGTTGCAGTGTACAATATTTGTAACTCTCCTTTGGAATGTTGATGAAGTCATATCAACTTACGTTCATCATGTTGTTGAATACAAAACTTCGTAAAACTCTCAAATGTTCGTTTAAGCTCAAAATAGAAGGTAGCGTAAATAATACGGAGAAAAATAAATATTACTTCGGTTGGTATAACAAAATTGGGCAGCATGGGAAATGACCATGAATTTGAACTGAGCACCATTACAAAAAAAATCAACTTTAACAAAGCAAAAACACATATGAGATACAAATTTACAAAAATATTTAGTTTAAAGTATTGATACCAATATCATCAATCTTCTTCTTTTCACAATATGTTCGATTTTGATCTAATAACGTTTCACTAACACTGATATCTTGAAATATTCTTTGTTACTTTGATATATATGCAAAACCGCATACGTCCTAGAATAAACATTGAATAGAGATTTGTTACATTGATGAATATATTTTATTTACTTTTAATTTTAAAATCATTAATTCTTCATAATCATTCGATATACTCAATTTATCTACTAAACACGTTTGCCTAACATTTTACTATAAAATTTTTCGAAAACATCTTTGTTTTTAAAATAATTAAAAACAATTTAAATAAAAAAAAAAAAATTTTAAACCCAAGTGAGAACAATGAAATAGAAAACAATACCATAATCTGATTGAATTTTTCCTCAATATCGGTTTCTCTTATAGCTTCACTTCTATAAAGTTCATTGATTATAATTAAAAAATAAATGTCAAATCTAAACAAACCCTTTTCGTAAAAGTATATCACAATATCGAGCTAATAATTCAGGTACTTTTCTTGTAGTCTCATCAGCTTCTGTTACTGTATTATTATTAATAAAATTTCCACAAGCCTAAGCACATAAGATGATAAATGAGATTATTTTATCAGCATCAGCAATCAAATATTGATCATTATTAAAAAAAATTTGTGCAACTTTGAAGAATTCGGTATGAATATAAAGAATTGTTTCAACGTAAAGTTTCGAATTCTGACAAAAAGAAAACAGAAAAATAACTATAGTTATAAGAAACAATAGTAAATTAGGTTTACATTAATTGCAGTGGCACTGATTAGTTTGATAGATTCAATACCTTTTAGACGAAAATCGTCTTCAACAATTTTTTTCAATGCAACAATTGTATTTGGTACTCGAGCAACTAATTTGAATAGAAGTGCGAAATCTATCAAAAAATAAAACATTTCAAACTTTACTTATAACATAAAGATTTTATAAGAAAAAAAATTAAAACAAGTAAATCGATTATGTGAAATTTTCTCACTCCGTCATATTGAGACATTTTCGTCTACTTACCTGAATATTTTTCATCGTGTAAAAGTGTTTTTGCTTCAGTATAGATTGCTTCAAATTGATCACGAATGCGTACATCTTCAACTTTTTTAATTAATGGTGCTAATGTTGATGGATGTAAATAAGATTCTACTCGATGTTTTTCTTCTTCAAAACGTTGTACTACCTATTATAAATAATATTAAATGTTTAAACATTTTTATAGAAAAGAAAAAAAGTCAGCCTTTTTCAAATATTCAGTCACAGAATTGTGAACAAGAAAATAAGCTGTTTCCTGACGATAAAATTGTTCTGTATCTTGAAGAAATGGTACTTCAAAGTGATTTTTATAAATTTCCAATGTTGGAGATGTTATTTAATGAGTATTATTTGGTACAGATAAGTTTTCCTTGAAGCCAACTTCGACTAAAATTTCCCACATAACTTTTAAGAAAAAGAAATTTTGATCTTTACTATAGCTTTGCATGATTTCACGAATTAATCAAGTATTAATCATTTCATTTTGACGTTCGGCTTTGATTAATTAAAGACATGCTAATGTTACTTGACTTTGCCATGGTTGAAAAAAAACGATTTGACAAAATTTCATCGCCATCTAAAATAAATTATATTAATTTTATAATTAATTTGAAAAGATAAACAATCTAACTTTACTTTAAGTAAAAATTTCATAAACATCTCTTCTTCCTGAATTATATGCCAGAGATGTCCATCGCGGCGCTGCCGCGCCGCTGCCGCGATGGCCTGTGGCGGCAGCGGCAGCGGCAGGTTTTTTAAAAAATCACCGCGGCAGCGGCGCGGTAGCGGTAGATTTTTTAAAAATCATCGCGGCAGCGGCAGGATTTTTTTGGGGAACATTGAAAAACTGCATGAATTTAATAGAATTTCAGGGTTTACAAATGAAACACCCCGAGACTGAATGAATCTGATGGTCTAGTACCAATATCTCTGGTCAAATATAGTCGCAGCAGTGAAATTAGAAACACTTTTTTGTAAACCGCCGCGGCAGCGGCGCGGCGGCGGCACATTTATTTTATAATTCATCACGGCAGCGGCGCGGCAACGTTTTTTTATAAGCCATCGCGGCGCGGCAACATTTTTTTATAAACCGTCGCGGCGCGGCTGCGGTGCGGCAGCTTTTTTTTTCTAAGGCCGCGGCGCGGCAGCGGCAGATTTTCAGCCGCGATGGACATCTCTGTTATATGCCTATCATAACCACTGTCGATTTAGATAATGGCAAAAACCATTTGTTACTTTGCTTGAAAATCGATAATATTTCCAGTTTGTGACATAGAAATGAAGTAAACTTTCGTCTTGTAAATCAAGTCCTTTCTACAAACAAAAATTTCATTATTAAAAAACAATAATAGAAGCTAAAAATTAGAAATAAAATGATTTTTGAATTAATATACTAGTTATCACAAGTCATAGTGGAATCACTGAAGATTGAGAATGAAAGAGTGTGATACGAAGATAAATTAGATTTTCAATTGGTTACTTCTTTTAATTTCAGGTTTAACATCATTTGCTCATTAACTATCAATATAATTGCATGTGGGTGAAGAAAACTGATGAATTACACTCTAACGAAGCAAGTGAGTGACGTCATTACTTTGGCTTTCGATGTTTCCACCATCAATCGTAGCAAGAACTGAAATAATAGTAATAAGATCTTGCTAGATAGTATAATTTTGTGCATCAATTGTTTATTTTAAACGGATTCTTTCGCTTCAAGTACTACTCAAATGACATGAGTCAAATTTGGAAGACTTGAAAATAACTAAAAAGATTTCTGATTTGTTTATTTTGAAGCATAATTCTTTGTTAGACAAAATTACTTGTTTTGTCAAATTGTTTGAGAAACGTTCACTGTCATAAGATGCTGAATATATAAAATTTTAGAACGAAACTATTTACTTGAGGTTATAAAATGAAACAATAAGAGATTCTATCGTCTTTGGATAATAATCTTGGAAGTATATCTCTCACTAGCTAAGCTCGAAATAAAACAAGCATTTCAGATTTAGAAATATAGCTTGACTGCTGTCGTAAATCATATGAGTAAAGTAGATCAATAACAGCAATACTAAAGCTTGTAAACGTATCAGATGGAAAATCCTGCAAAAAAAAATAGATTCGTGGATGAAAATAAAATGATAATTTTAACATTGTTAATGGCATGAAATCAAGAAGAGTTTTTACTTTTTCACCAAAATGTGGTGCAACATAAATTTTTCAAATGTATTATTAATCATTCCACATTAAATAAAAAGAAAAGAATGAATCTATTTTTTAAAACATTATATCATTAGTAACTTCCCTCAATTTGATCTTTTGAAAATAGAATATTATACTACGAATGTATATATCTGACCTGTACTCCTTCGATATTCGCAATCTTTTCATGGTTAAATGTATAAGTTTTCCTATTTTTATACATTAGTTTGCATAAAAGTTCAGAATATTTTCTTTCAATTCTCTTTTATATGACAAGATGATGTTCATGGTGATGATTCTATTTTAGAAACAAATTATTTATTGTTCAAAAACCAACATATAAACTCTCATTTTTACAGACATTTAAATTAAAATTTCAATACTAATTATTCTCTCGAGCGAATAATCTTACTTCACAAATTTCTTTCAAATAAGTTTTTAATTAATTTTTCAATTTGGTATGTAATTCTTCATTAACAATATTGTCACTAACATGTAGATTATTTTGGTGATTATTCCGAGTGGGTCTTCTAGACATTGCTGATTGAAAGCTTTGTGATGTAGAATTTGTACAATAATTATAAAGTACACTATAAAAAAAAATATTCAAATATTGAAACAGAAAACATAAAAAAAAGGAAAGATCAAACTTGTATTTACCATTAATTTCGTAAATACTCTGTAAGTAGCATTACTCCAATTTGATAAACATGTTCAAGACCTTCTAATACTTTCATTCAAACATCATTCAAATTAATATTACGATCTATATGTGCCATTTCGTTTTAAATCAATATCTGTGAATAGAACAAAAGTAGTATCAGTCATGAGTCGCGAATAAATACTAGATAGTGGTACACAAGTTTTGCTTGTAGTTCGAAATTAGCTTGAAGTACTTCAAGTTTCAAATATCAAAAGATCTCCAAAGACAAGTAAGACCTCACTCAGACTCAATCCTGAGAACTTCATTATTATATAAGTATCTTGATGAACGATTATTATTTGATCGAAGTAGTTTTCTTTTATTTTTATATGATAAACTAACCAATTTCAGTCGAATTTCTGAAACCCAGTGAGAAATCGTATCAAGTGGAGAACTTTTATGTATAATACTTACATTGATGTATATATGGGATTTGTGATTTTATTTAATAACGATTACATCAAATTTTTAATATCTTAACGTTTTACTGTCCTAATTCACTTTATCTATCTCTCCACAGACATATTTATTTTATAAAAAAATGGGTTTATATATAAGATGTTAGGAAGAAGTTGAGAAAAACCCATAAAAAAAATATAATAAAATAGAAAAATTCCATGAGTCATTACGTCAAAGTAAGGAAGAAGATAAGAAAAGAAACCAAGAGAACATACAAAGAAAAATATCTGAGAGAACGAAAGAAAAAAGAACAAACATGTATGGAAAATACTTTTAACACATGTTTTATGGCACATTTACATACTTGCCATAACATGTATTAAAAGAATCGAATACCTAGTCAGTCTCGAAAATAAAATCTGTCTAATCAATTGAGAGTTTAATTCACAATTAATGCACATTTTTGAGAAACAAATTAAATTATAGAGGCACCAGTTAAATTAATATAGTTCACACTCGTGATTGAAAAGCGATTCTGACATCCTTCATAAAAACACATGAAATAAAATTTAAAAAGAAATATTTAAAATAAAATAAAAATATATTGCATCAATGCAAGAATTAAATTAGAAAAATAATATAAGTTTTAATAATTGAATGATTTCTATCGAAATCGATGCAACAAAACAAATACTAGTAATCATATACTGTATCTATCGATTTTGTTTGAGACCTTATTGAAATGCAATGGCGTTGTTGAACAAAAGGTATTATTTCATATAGAGATAAATGAAATGCTGATTACATAATTAATCAAATAAATAGCTCAAACTGTGACGATTAGTGAGAAGTGACGTTATGCAGAGTATGGTTCTCACAAGTACTTTCTCAAGACCGTGAAAATTAATGAATAACAATTAACACGAAACTATTAACTTTTGAAAAACTATGCTTTTATTGGTGATATATTTTCAAATTCCTTTTCAGCAAAAAATCGAGCTGTTTTGAATTTAGATTATAGAGCAACTTTCAGTAAATTCATATAGATATTATCAAATCAAACATAAGTGATAAACGCTCATATTGTTTCGTATTATTTGATTTATGAGATAAAAATGAGTTCTCAATATATCTGAAAAAAAAACAAAAAGCTTATGGTTCTATCAAAATAATCAGCTACACAAAATTCACGGCAATAAGTACCTCGACAGATCGGCCAGGGTAATTCAAATACTTCACTTGATATGTCATCTAATTTTTCTTCTATATCAGAAGTTAATGTTGCATCACGTCTATCATTATCTTTTTTGAATACTAATTGATAAATATTGCAAGAAACATGTTTGGCAATGGCAGGCAATACCTTCAAATCAAAAAACATCTAAAATATTGACCATGGTTGAAACATTCATATTAGAGAAAAATCTTTGTGCAATGTGATTCAATAACAAATATAAGGAAAAACAATGTTCATTTGTTTTCTTTTTTTGTAGAAAATAGATATTTATATAAAAAAAATTCAATTGCTGTTTTGAGATATTTACGATCAAAGCGTGAATAAGCTAATTTCAAGTAATCGTATTTTGTCCTACAGTTCTCACTTGTGGTTATAATCCAATTGCAAACCAGATATACTATGCTAGTTGATTTTTACAGTGAAAAATTAGACCCCTTTTTTTATCTGATTCTTATAAAAACTGCACTTCCGTTTGTTGATAAAGTCTCTCTAAGTTTCTTTGTCTAGAAGTGCATATCGTACAGAGAAAAGATTGCTGACTATACTAGACTTGGCATTATTTCATAAAAGCCTTTCTTCATAGAAAAAAGCTAAACTAAAATATACATAGGTGTATAGTAAAGCAACAGTCACATCCAAGTATTTTTGTTACTACTAGAACAAGTAAAAACTTAATCGGATTGATGTCAAAGTACATGTCATACAATGAAAGAAGACAAGCTTTTATTTTCTTGGATAGATACTTCTAATATGAAATAAATAATTTTTATACTTTTTGAATTTGCTATAGTTTTCGGAAAATTCCAGAGTTCACATAACGAACATAGTGAAATAGTACTTTGTGTTTCATGATCTAGATGATATATGATAAAATTTGCTCAGGATAACCAATAATATCCCACAGAACCTAATTCCAATTGAAGATGCTTCGATACGTCAGATTTTAATAACAAAAGTTTTGATGAAAGCGAGCAACACACTTGAAAAATCAGATTCTTAATGAAAAAAAGCATCATAATTAAAAAGCTTTTCTTCCAAAGAATAAATCTGTAAGCGTGGGTGTTTTTCGTTGATTTTCATACGAAAAGAAGGCATTTCGGTTGAAGTTAAACATAATTAGATTTTTAAAATTAATCAAAATACAGTAGTGCTCAAATAGATCATATATCCCACGCAAAAATAAATAAATATTGAACAATTAAAATTTTCGTATTTCATTGGTTCAAACGAGAAGATGTATTTTTCAAATATTTTAACTGAAAAATCAGCTGAAACTTTGTTCAAATGCGTCTTCTCGTTCAGACCAATGAACTATGAAAATATTAATTACTCAATATTTACTTACTTTTGTGTGGAATGTATGATCAATTTTGAGCGAAATCAAAAGACTTCATTTTTACTATTTCTAGTCTAGCACAATAAATATAAAATTCAGAGAGATCACATTTTCAGCAAATAAACTGTGATAACCAGGCTACATTTGGACCAAAGTCGCAATTCTATGTCTTGAACTCATCTTGAGATATTAAAGAAACAATGTCATTTGCCAGGTATATGATCAATTTTGAGCACCACTGTATATATATTTGTTTTTTCTTATTTAGTTCAAAATGAACTTGAAAATACTATGTAGGGATTATTTATATTATTAATCCTTTTTTTTTATCTAGACTAGTAGCAACAAGAAACAAAAAGTAACACTGAAGACTGATTTTGAGGCACATGAATTCTACTTGTCACCCTTTTCACATATGATACCTTCTACGAGTATCCTCGAAAACTGGATGAAGTATCAACACAAGAGGTATAGGAGATATTGCATGAACACACCTACTCTATGTCTCCTATATCTGCAATATTTCATATGCTAGTACTTAATATCAGTTTCCGAAGAAACTCTAAAAAAAAACAGTTAATCGTGTAAGGAATTGAATAAGAAATGTTTGGAAAAAAATTGAAGTCGAACTAATGAACATTAACGGATATGTTGCTAGAATAAAAAGAGTCTTATTTATTTTGTAAAATAAGTTAGAAGAGAATGTTTTCATTTTGAATGTAATTCAGTATATGTATGCATTTTTGGGTCTTTAATTTGTGGACAATCTTCATGTTCATTTGCGATTTGTGTCATTTTCCAAACAAGATCATATTGAATTTCTTCCGATACAATTGAATCTTGTTTATATGATGGATGTAAAAGTACAAATTGTCGTATCCATGATGCATTTGTCAATAAAGTTCCTTGAAAAGACATCAAATAAAATATTATCATAAATACAGACGAAAAAAAAACTTAACCTGCAGCTCGCTTTGATATAAGTAAAAGATATTGCTCGACAGTATGTCTTGTATTAGCATCAATATCTTCTCGTTCATGAATATATTTTCTAACAAGTGGAACAAGACCAAGAAAATCTTTGTTACCATTTATAATTTCATTCATAAACATTTGAGAAATGTAAGTGCCACATCGAAAATAAAATTTTTCTCGGCGCACTGAATCTCGACAGTGTGCCGTATCCATATTTTCATTAACCTGAGATATTGGTATCGTTAAATCAAGACCATAAGTTAATATAACTCTTGTGGTTAATGCTAAGAAAACAACAAGTGCTGCATTTTCAAAATCACTTATTTGAATCTACAGTTTATGAACATTATTTATCTATATTAAATTTTTAAAAAACTCATTTACGTACATCCATTGGTCGAAATTCTACTCGCCATCCCATTAAGTTATCATTTAGCGGTGGTGGTTTTAATCGTAAACTATTCCATACATGAGTATTGCAATTCTAAAATTACTTGATTTAAAACAAATTAAAGGAAACGAAAATAACTAACTTCAAAGTGATACGTAGTTGTATCATCAATTGGATGAAGAAGTTCTTTTAAAACAACAAGTGGATCACGAGTAAATAAATGACCAAAATGACGGGATAATGTTTCAGGCATTTCTTTTATATTAAAAAATAATCTTTTATAATAAAATAGAAAAAGAAATTCGCGTAAACAAACCTTGATCAATAAGTTTTGCAACAACATACTGATCAACTGCATAATCAATATCATTTAAATGTTTATTTTTATCAGCTAAATACAATGGAGCTAAAGCATAACGTGATGGAAGATTTTTTTGTTTTTTTTCTTCAATTGTTCGATCGTCAGCAGCTTCACTTAATACATTCCATCGACAATCTATATCAGATAAATAACCACGCCATATTGGACATGCAGCACTTAAACATACCTGTTGTAATAAATATTTCGAGTTTCAATGAAAGAATAAACAAAAAGAAGAATATACCATTATTGGACATAATGGTAATAATTGATCATATAGATGAATACTTTCTTTAAATGATTCACCTTGAAATGTAACTTGAAGACAACAACAACCCCAACCAGCTATTGAACTATCCAAATGAATATGATCATCTTTTATATCAGGATCGTCTTTAAATAACTCATCACGAAATGGAGATGGTGTACATGAATCTTTGAATACTAAAAAAATTAAATATTTTTTAGCTAAAATAATTAGGTTATGAACAAAAGAAAATTTTTCAAACGATTATGAAAAGTCTTTTAGTCTTTTCCCCGGCACTTTTCAAGAATCGTTCATCAGAAAAAAATTCACAGTTTCAGAGTAGACTCATCTCAATTAGAATAAGGGAGAGTTGTAATAGACTCAAAAATTTTTCCATGCTTCCATAAAAAAATAGATTGCGATGTGCAGCTTTAGCTTCTTGACCATTGACGTCACCGACGCAGTATTACTAGTGCACACCGCTAGAAAAAGGGCGTATGATCATAAGGTTTGTGTTTCAATATTGCAACGAACTCAGATTCTCAGGACAGCTCGTGCTTCAATGAACAATGTCTCTAGTGTAATGAGTGCTCCAATATGCTCTCTGTCGATGAGTCATTATTGAATATTTTTAAAACCGTTTGAAAAATTCTAGTGAGTCTTTTTTTTTTTAACTACCAGAGATTTCGAAACATGGATTTACACTTTGATTATTTGACTGACAGTGTAATAAGCAGTGATCTATAATCTAAATGAATGTGTCAAATTTTGTAATTAATTTTCTTATCTAATGGTACAAAGCAGAGTTCAAGTCTATTCTTTATTGTTTGTCACAGGCAAGTAAATAAATACTTCATTGTGTTTAACTGAAACCTATGCTATTTTTATCGTTTACTTTTATTCTTTGACTACGAAACAGAATAATCATTAAATCTAATTATTTTGTATAGATTTCATCTTACTGCAAGATCAATAAATCTTCATCCTAGCTCAATCAGCATATTCTTTAGGAATAAAATCGACTGGCAATGTTTGAGAGATAAACATTTGCTCGTGTCTAATTATCCAAATAACGGTTAAATCAAGATAAATAGATGAATAATATATGAATAGGAGATTTATCAATAATTTACTGAAGATTTATTTCATACTGATTAATTGTATTTCAATTTGATTTTCTGATGAACTAATGTGTTTAACACTAGAAAAAACATGTTTGTCGATAGATTTATTTCGATTTGATTATCTTCTAATAAAAGATAAATTCATAGTTTTTATTTGCATTAAATTTGACTAATAAATTATTTAAACAAAACTCACTTGGAATGTTAATTGATGCTTTAGATTGACGTCGTTCACTCATATTTGTTGATAAAGATCTTTCAATAAAAAAAAAATTGTCAAAAAAGAAACAAAAATATTTGGTTTTACTTCATTCTTGGATGAAGAGGTGATAGAAGTGAATCCGGAAAACATAAAGATTTTTCAGCGGAATAAGAAGGACCATATTCAATCGGTGGATATGTGTATTGTCCTTGTCCATATCTTGTATAACGGAGAATCAAAAAGAAAAATTTAAGAATATATTTATTCATTTTTAACTCTTTTGAGAAGATTGCAAACATTTGAAAACATTAGGTTACAATCAGAATTTTGTGTTCTTTATGCATATGAACTCAAAATTTTTGTAGAACTTCTAGTTTAGAAGTTATGAGTTAATCTTTTATAGTCTTGTCAATTACGCTTGAATGAATGATAACTTAACAAAAACTTCTCAAAGTAAAAACAAAAATTATTTTAAATAAAAGCGAATGAAAGAGCAAATATTTCTTAATACAACAGTGTATTAATGATTAGTTTGTTTTAAGTCATTTTGTTCGCATCAAGTGTTTTGATAAACAGCACTATATCAATTTAGACAATCTTTTCGATGTCTATGAAAAATAAACTTGCAATATGAGTTCAACCATTCTCAAATGATTGTCCTCAAACTTTTGATTGTTTTATAATTTTGTAGAAAATAATTTAGCCTTTAATTCTGTACAAAAACAAATCCGTAATTTAGTGTATGTATGTAGTAAAGAAGACTAGAAGCAAAGAACGTCAATTTTTGCATCTCTAAAGGGTTAGTTAATAACTGATAAGCTAGAAGTCTTACACAAATTTTGAATTCATATTCGAAAAGACAACGAAATTGTGATTTTAATCTAGTATTCTCAAATCTCTGTAAGCTTCTTAAAATGACTGCAAAAGTAAAATGAACATTTTTTTGAATTTTTTTCAATCATTCATTATAAGAAAATGAATAAATTAACAAAAACAAAAACAAAAAAAAGAATATTTAATTATTACCCTGGAAACGCAGCAATACTTAAAACATATTCACAGTCGGATTGTTCAAATAAAATTTGTTGTACTTGTTCTTTTCTTAGTCTCATATTTGCTTCGACTGTATTAAAATAAGATGGTGAAAAGCCATAAGGTCGGAATGGAATACCTTCAATAATAAAATCGCATGCTTCAGGATGCCAAGCTATACGACATGCTCTTTGAATATTTCAATATATTATTATGATACATATATTTATATAAAATACATACTCATCATCAATTTTTTTGTTTAATTCGCTTAAAATTGGTAATATTTCATGATTTTTTAATAATAGTCGAACATTTTTATTTTCATGATCAAATCTAACTAATGTTAATTCAACCTTGACAAAAGAAAAACAAATGAATGAAATAATTTAAGCTTTGGATAATCTAATACCTCATCTCCCCATAGAAATGCATCTTTCTGTCGATCTTTACATTTATTGAAGACACGTACAAGTTGATCAAGAGCATAAGTTCGTATTTGTTGAAGAGCAAGTTTTATCTCAGTCCATGATAAAGGATTTCCTTCAGATAATAGACCCATTTGTTTACATATAAGATGAAAAAATTTTAGCAACTATATTAATGCTCTACAGGTGTGCGAGGTTTTTCTTTTTCATCCTTTGCTTTCTTCTTTCGTCGTATACGCTTTATTATAAGTCACATGATAATCAATGACAACAATAAAAATAAAACAAAAGCATCTATTGAGTTAGGACAATGATAGTCTATTTTTTCATCCGAACAATATTGAGTAGAATATCAGTAGTCTACAATCAAATAGGATTGAATCATCGATTCATTCATTATCATATTACAAGCGTTATTGTGTTTTGATTGGTTAGTTTCTGTCGACTATTTGTCGGTAAAGACATTTTCTTTGGAAAACATTGCAAATACAAATTGATAGTGAAAAATCTTCTGTATCAACTAATATGGATCGAAAATTCGACTTATTTAGTTTTTTTTACAAACTGATTATACATAGTGTATTTGATATTGATACATGTAAATAAAAATTTTTGTTTCGGTTCGACTTGCCTATTGAAGATTGTGCTTCCTTTCTTTTGGTTATAAAAGGACCACTTTATTAATTTTCCATTAAAAACATTTTCAGTAAACGAGGAAATATTATTCATGATATGCATTTCTTCAACATTAATCAAAGTATCTTGAGAAATAATATTTTGCATCAATTTGTTGTTATGAATATTAATTATTTGTTCTATTTTCATTCATTCAAAATATTCGGCTCCTTTTTTTGTATATCTTATTATGTTTTAATCAATAATGAAACATTACTATTCATATAATCTTTTATGAAAATTGGATCATGTGTAACATTCGAATAATGCTTGATTATAAAATTCTAATACTAAATCTAATGATAAACTTTGAATCTAAGATGAATGTTGTTTTCAATTTCTTGTTAGTTGAAGATTGAAAAAGAGAATTATATACGAAAGGATACTATTATCTTAAAAATTAATTTATTAACAAAGAAAGTCAACAATTATTGACAGTTATCGAACGATACAAAAGATTTCGAGTTTTTCTACATATATGCGCATATGGCTATATAAAGACTAGTGTATATGATGAATCGAAAGAATGAAAAGAATGTAAAAATGATTCATTTGACGACATGGTGTATGTTTATGACTGAATGGTGGAGGAGCATCATGCACAAATCGCAGAAAAAATGTTGAGCGGTTGCTCAATGAATATAGTGCAACATCCATTTCAAATATATTTAAATATCGATGCTGATCTGGACATAAAAGACTTCAGCTGTTTGAAATACGAGTGAAATATGCACTCTTCAAGTTTCACTTTTTTCTCCTTGACACACAATCACACTCCTCGGTCCACAATGAAACGAAAAAAAAAAGAAAACTTGATAGAAGTCTTGATAATATTCAAGAAAAATGAAAACTCTGGAAAATCAATTACATAAACTTGTAACTTCCGTATGGAATTCACATGAAAGAATTTACTATATTGACATTTATTATTAAGAGTTTACCATTCACCTACATTGCTCGAATTAAATTTATTTCAGTTCTAGATACATAAACAATAAATTTCATACCAATGATGAAGGCTGATCATATGTTCTTAAAATAAAATGTTAACATGAAGAAAAAAACTTCAACAGCCAACCATTTAAAGACACCTACTGTTAGAAAAGAAGCAGCATTTATGATTTATCAGGTTTCTTCGTCTTTTTTGACATTATCTGCTGATATTGTCTATCTTATTTTGGACAATCTCGATGATTTCACAATTATATGTTCCGTATATAATGTTTGTACACGACTGAATATGATCACTGATACATATCATCGGTATCAAGTAAGCTTTAGCGTTATCATAGAGTCAACTTTCTTTTACCTACCACACATCATTCAGCTCAGCAAATGATTATTTTTCACCATTTTACTTGTTCATTTTAAAATAGTAATGGTTCTATAATAAAATTTTCCTATCACGGTTCAATTTTCTAAAATTATTGTAGCAAATAATTCTGCATGTGAATTAAATTGAAGATTGTAGACGATACTTAACTGAATTAAATGAATTCTACACTTTTCGAATGTTGAACAGCTAAACGTTTTTTAAAGAAATTAGGTTATTTTACTTAGAAATTAACCATAATTCTACTAAATCGGAGAAACTAAGAAAGTGTAAGGACTGTCAGAACTTGAGAAATTTTAAAAACAATCTCACATTGGCATAGTTATATAACCTTTCAGAGAATATCAATGTCGCCTTTACAGTCAAAAAAAAATGAATAAGAAATAATTCTGATAATCCTCAGATGAAACAAATGAAATGTAATTTTTTGGAAATTGGTGCTTTCTGAGTGAAAGTTCATTTGGTAGAAGATGTGTGACTTATTTGGTGTATGAAAGAACAATTTGACACCAAAAGGTTCGTAAATGTTGCTGTCGATATACAAAGGTTTGGAGTGGAAACGCCTCGATTTTGAATTTGTTGATGTTTATATAGATGGTTCAACTTCATTTTTCGAATACGTGTATTCAGTTCGAGTGAGTCACTTATCTGTCGTGAAAAACGAATACTTCCAGTTAAATCACTTGTGATTCGAGTGATTCAGTTATGGAACTATAATTGTTATCATTTTCGTACATGTTAATTATTACTTACAATGTACGAAACATCATAAGATCATCTCTTGACTTTCACTTTTTCTAGTGAAAGTGATTTGTAATACATATATTCATAGTTACTCATTAGGTATTTACTTCAAACACTACTGAGAGACAACGTATGATTCTATTTATTGGTAGTGAATTCCATACGGAAAAGTGCTATTCGTTAGGACTTATTCACAACAATCAATTTTTTAATATTCATTTCTTTGCAAGCCATTAGATTTTCTTTCTATCATTTCTAGTCGTTTAATTTGCCTTTCATACAAATCCAAAAGGATTATTGCACTATTTGATATGAATAATACAATAGAAATTACATAAGTTGTATTGCATAAAATGTTTCACCAACGTTCTGTATTGATAGGTCTATCACAAAGTTTTAGCTACTGTTTGAAACATCATAATTCTATTGAGAAAGTGAATCTATCTAAATTGGATAAGAGAAAACTAACCGCTAGAAAAACTAGTTGAAAAGTCTTATTACAAAAGTATAAAAATATTGTTGACTTACAAAAAAGAAAATTATACTTGAATCGGATCAGTTACACAGATGTGAAAGAGACGATTGACGCATGTAAGTTAGACATGTTGAGATGGATAACATATGGTGTTGCCTCTCTCACGTAATGGAAGCCTAATGTCATTGTATATTATCGAAGTTTATCATAACAAAAAAAAAAAGTTTTGAATTTATTTAAGAATATGTAAATTTTAGTAGATGTCTGCATAATTTTAGTAAACATGCGCAACAAGAACCTATGTTTACATAAACTATTAGCCAGCTTGATAATAATTTCTAAACTACTATTCTTTTCTTATGTATGTGCGTAACAAGCGTTGAGATCGGGTCACGTCTGAATGGTTAGGCTCAATTCAACCTAGAACACAACTAACAGAAGTCTATTTTTTGTATAGAAAGAATTTCTAAGCAATAAATGTCTATAATCATTCTGGTCAAGTATTAGTATATTTTGACGAGTTTCTTCATCATACTGATTACATATTGTATAATCTAGAACGAAAACGATACTTTGAAAAACCAGATTGGACAACCGATCGAATTAATTATTGAACAAAAACAGTAATATGCATTCCTGGATACATCGACTTTTTGGAATCTATAATTGATTAATGTATGTCATCACGAGTAAATATGTGTAGAAGAATTTCAACGAACCACATGTAGCAACACATACTTTTAGTATTGTTGTTAGTTAAAATACAAATTTAACCGTATTCCACTTTAGATGAAGTCATCCCACGTATTATAGCTCATTGTATATTCCATTTTGTATGTATATAAGAATTTTATTGAGGTTGTGGGTGGGTGTGGCTGTGGCTGTGGACTCAGGTCTTCTCTCAACCAACACTCACACCCACACCCAAATAAGCAAGAAAAATGTCTCAAACCTCATTCATGATGATAGTGCCTTTCTTAACATTGATCTGTTTGTCGTCAAGTCGACAATGAGAGAGACTATATCTACGTATGGTAAGCACATCATAATTGGAGACAAAAACGAAAATATTTGGAAGACCAACGGAGAGATAGGCAAATAGAGATGAATGAAGAGGGAGAATATTCAATAATATGAAACAAACGAACAAATATAAATAAGGGTGTGAGTGTCGGTGTGGTTGTGAAATATGGCTATGGATGTGTCTGATGTCTTTGTTAACAGCGATATCCACACCCGTCATAGAACCAACAAGAGAGAGAGTATGCTGTTAGTTCCTAATTGTTAAAATACAACGTACCATTTCGACCATATCGATTTGAACCTAAAACAAAGCAAAAGAGATAAGTAGGTGTCACTAATTCAATTGTAACTTACCATTGAGATCATATCAATGGAAACCTAAAAAAAGTATTGGTTTTTACTTATCAAAGCATAGCTTACGTGTAGGATCATAACGGTTTAAATAGAGGGCGTGGCAAATCTCAAACTGTTACCAGTTTTGGTTGAATGACATAGTATGTACTACAATTGTAAAAATAAGTTATCCAGTTTCTGATAAGCCGAAAACTATCATCGTACATCATATATCAGATATTTACTTTTGTATGAAAGTTTTCAGTTTCAATGCATAATAAAGTAAATCAGCACATTTATCTATCTATATGTATGAAAATTCACCAGATAACCAGATATCAGATATTTACTTTTGTATGAAAGTTTTCAGTTTCAATACATAAT